AACAGCTATATTTCTTTTTAGCAGATTAAGCTTTCAAGGCATTAGAAAGGAAGTTTTTTAAGTGCCTTTAAAAGTTAGATTAAGTTCTTATAGATATTATACATTCAGCTCATCAAAATGTTCTTTCCAATTCCAAGCATAAAATCTTGAGCTTAATTTTTAATCATGTATGACGGATTTTAGTTCATTTACCTGTGGTGTTTTTGCCCAGCTGTAAATATCATTTTTTTAATTGTAAAATGAACTCACTGGCCACTTTATTAATTACACTTGTTCAACTGCTTGTTATCTAAAAAAATCAAATCAGCCAATCACATGGCAGCAATTCATGTAAACATGGTTGAGACGACCTGCTGAAGTCCAAACTAAGTCCAGACTTGGGAAATAGCTGTTTAACTGACTTTGAATGTGGCATGGCTGTTGGTCTGAGTATTTCAGAAACTGCAGATGTGCTGGGATTATCCCACACAACCATCTCTGTGGTTTGCAGAGAATAGTCCAAAAAAGATAAAAACATCCAGTGAGTGGCAGCTGAAAATGTCCAGGAATAGCCAGAGCTGAGAGTAAGGCGACAGTAATTCAAATAATCACTTGTTACAACCAAGGTATGCAGAAGAGCATGTCTGAATACACAGCCTTCAGGTAGATGGGATACAACGGCAGAAGAGCCACACCTGATGCCACTCCTGCCAGCTAAGCACAGGAAACTGAGGCTACTGTTCACATGGGCTCACGGACAGAAGATTACAAAAACGCTGCCTGACCTGATGAGTCTCGATTTCTGCAGCAATATTCAGATTGTAGGGTCAGAATTTAATGTAAACAACATGAAAGCACAGATCCATCCTGTCTTTTCTCAGCGGTTCAGGATCCTGGTGGTAATGTAAAGTCCACTTTGGGTCCTTTAGTACCAACTGAGCATCATTTAAAACACCACAGCCTACTGAGTATTGTCGCATGCCTTTATAACCATAACATACTGAACTCCTGTTTGTTGCTTCCATTGCGGTAAGGTAACGTGTTAAAAGCTCAGATCATCTCAAACTGGTTTCTTGAACATGACAGTGAGTTCACTGTACTCAAATGATCTCCACAGCCACCAGAACCCAATACCAGTAGAGGGGCTTTGGCATGTTGTTAAACAGGACGTTCACATCATGAATGGAGCCGACAAATTTGCGGCAACTGTGGGATGCTATCATTTCAACATGGAGAAAAATCTCCGACGAATGTTTCCAGCACCTTGTAAAATCTGTGACAGGAAGAATTAAGATGGCTCTGAAGGCAGTGTGGTGCTAGAAAGCTGTATCTAATGAAATGTCCAAGGAAGGCAAGCAACACATTTTTACAATATTAACAAATGAGGCAGGCAGTGTATAGAGAGTGGCTTGAATGGACTGTGGCTGCATGCCATGGCATGCCAGCTTCTATAGACCGACTCCTTATGATGGGTAGAGTAGAGGTCCGTCATGGGCATTATAGTCACAGTATACTGTATGCTCACATCTCAATGATTTTAGCCTGTGATCTCCCAAAACATGTCTCACACTGGAGGTGTCAAATATTTTAAAAAGCCAGCATTTAGGATTTATAACAGTAATAATATAAATCTCCACATTAATGACCTAAAATGTGTAATAAAAACATATTTTTTAAAATGAAGAAAACATAATTAAATTTAGCATACATTTTTTAAAGATTAAAATCTGCATAGTAACTATATGATATTTAAAAATCAGTCATACGGACATAATGTAAACCACACTTCTCAGTGAGATGAGGGTTAAAACAGTCATCTGATGAAAACAATTACTCAAAAAAATCCCAAACCTGAACATTTTTTTCCTCTAATAATCCTCAAAGGTGATCCGGATTCACATTAATAAAAAGCCAGATTGCAATTTTCCATGTGAAATGTGTTCAAGTGATAACATTCAGGGACACGAAGACAACACTGCTCACATTGTTCCACACTATATAACAACAAAATCCCTACACGAGATATCCCCAGTGGCCTATCAACAATTTTCCTGCTAAACAAAACAAACTAGGCTTCAACTCGAGTAAGTCCATGAAATGATGTGGCTAAAAATAGCTGCAGATAAATCCATATATACACACAGGAGGTCAGAGACATCATGGCAAGGCTATTAGCCCTGCATGGTGATGTCACAGGGTCAGATGTCTGAGATGTGTTTTACGTCCAGCTTGCCTGCTCGGGGAAAATATCAGAGCAAAAGTCACGGCCGAGCGCAGGAATCATTGCTGGAAAGCAGGCAGGGCTCTGCATGCTAAACAGGCTGACATTTTGCCTGGGAAATCCGAATGGAAACAGGAGTCCCATACTCTGTTTCAACACAAACCAACCAGCTTAAATCCATGCTTATCTGATGGGATACATAAACACAACAGCATAACAAATGAGCTGAGCCCTGCTTGACCTTTGATGGTCATGAAGATGAGGCAGTGTGAACTTACTGGACTCATTTAAAAGACCAGGCTGTAACTGAACCAAGGACTGTGATATGACTGCAACTGCTGCAATTATCTTTACAGCTGGGGTTAACTTAATAATGACTCATCTACTCACACAGCTATCAGCATACATTTTGGCCACTTGCCCTTTTCATGACGTACAAACTGATGAGGTAAATATAGTTAAGTACATTTAAAAGATACCAATCATAACATGAGGTACTTTTAGGATTCAGAACAACTGTGATGTAGATAACACAAAATATTTGCAATTTAAAGTAAAAGTTTTTAGGAAATAGTCCCCTGAACAGCCCTATTTTGGTAGTGGATGTGGTTGTGGTTAAAAGTTTATGTAAACTCATTGTGGGCATGGATGCCGTGGTAATTTAGAGCTTTTAATGATTTTTTTTAAACTGTTCTTTTCCAGGGTGAAATGATTTGTACAGCATCTTTAATGACATTAAAAACTGCATCATCTACGTCCACATTTTATAGCCTTTTGATGTTCTTCTATCAAACCCAGCATTATTATTAGCTTTTAACCAGGAAATCCCGGCCAAGAGAGACCTGGCCAAGTTCAGAAAAAACATTTTTCTTAGAGTAAAGAAAAAACAAATGCAGTCTAAAGCTCTTGTACTACAAAGGGAATTTAAATAACTTCATCTGCATGAAGATGCTTCAATAAAAACAGAAAAGAAAACACATCCTAAAAGGGAGCCCTGTGGGGCACCTTTAATTTTCCCAACAAAATCATAATTATGACCCCTGCATTTCATTACTCATCCAAGTGACTACTTCAATCTCAGCTGAATGCAGGTTTCTGCATCCTTGTAAATTGTACAACTCCATTTCTAACGGTGGTGTCTAAATATTATGGTGTCAAAATAATTTACATTATATTTATTTACCTTTAAGCAGAGGTGTGGACTCGAGTCACATGACTTGGACTCGAGTCAGACTCGAGTCATTAATTTTATGACTTTAGACTTGACTTGAAAAAATGTTCTAAGACTTGTGACTTGACTTGACTTTTACACCAATGACCTGGGACTTGAATTGGACTTGAACCGGTTTACTTGAAAAGACTTGATATTTCACCCCAAATATAAAATGTAACATGCATATAGAGATTGAAAATGTGACGTCATTCAGGGGTAAACCACAAAGGATTCTGGGAACTCGTGGCAAGAGGTACTAGCGCACGCAGGCTTTCAATTGAAATCAGTTACACAGCGATAAAAAGAAACACAAAAATGGCAAGAAGCTGTTGTATTATTAACTGCAATAGCCGGTCGCATGACAGCCACGGGAAGCCGACGGGTAAAGAGATCGGTTGTTATCGGATTACGTCGTTGAAGAGAAATTGTTCGAGCCATGTTTCCGAAGTAACAAAGAGGCGACTGGATTGCAGCCATTCAAAGACCAAATATAACGTCCCAGAACACTCCAGCTCACAGGTTAGTCTGCTCCAAGCATTTCCACAAAGGTCAGTCTGCTGTTGTAGTTAATGCGTCATTTTCATAACATAATTGGTGATATAGGTTACAAGCAAGTCTGGCGCTGAACAGAAATTGTCGCGCTATGCTCCTTTGTTTATTGTGCATAAATAGTGAATTGTCCTGACACAATATTGCGTTTCGCTTCTGTTATTATGGTACATTGACAAAAACATATACTTTTATTCACAGGATAAAACAGTTGTTTTGTATCACTAATTGCCCAGTACGATTACAGCATACAGTATTATTGTCACTGCTACATTTCTGTAACGCGTACCAGAAATTATTTCCACTACTACTTAATTACCGTTGAGCTCAAAGGTTATATTAATAAACGGTTAACGAATGTGTATTTATGACGACGATTTGTGAGACTGGTAAACTTATGATACGTACGATGGTCTTTCGTTCTACACGGTGCATTTCAAGGTCCTGCACCCATCCGTCGGTAAACTGTACCTGGGCTTGTTGCAGTGACCTGAAGTTACTAAACTTCATGAGTGTATGCACTCACTCCAAGAACCGTATAATTATAAATATGCATATAAATATGCTACGATGAGATAGCTGACTTCATCTAACTAGCAAATGTTGTCCAGGCTACGTTGGTGATGCAGTTTTTTTTAATGTGTATGATATTTTTGTCATGCGATTTTAAAGCCGGTCCTACAACCGCATCCAAGAATAACATGCAGCTTATCTCAGAACTGTCGGTGAAAATTATTCTTGGAGCTAGGTTTAATTGAGCTGCATTTTAAAGAGGTGCAATTTCACAATTTGTGTATATTTTCTAAGTTCACTATTTTGTCATGTGTTGAGAAAAACACAGATTTAAAAATTACATGGTCTAATATTTACATTTAGCATAACTGCAACATTCTTTTTTCGTTTTTTTTTAAAGACTCGAAAGGACTTGAAATTCAAAATTTCAGACTTGTGACTTTACTCGGACTTTTACACCAGTGACTTGAGACTCGACTCTGACTTGCCTGACATTACTTGAGACTTGACTTGAGACTTGAGGATAAAGACTTGAGACTTACTTGAGACTTGCAAAACAATGACTTGGTCCCACCTCTGCTGGTTAGAGTTGCATGGATCGCAGATTTATCCGTTTTTTGTGAATATAAGCTGCTGACTGGTGAGCAGAATTTTCAGCTTGGTACGTTAGTGTTCATCAGTTAATCATAAAACATATTTAGTGCTTATAACAAATATATTATGCTAAATAAAGACAGATTTTTCCACAATGTATATGATAGTAAGAGTTAGTAAACCTCTATTAAAGTCTCCCTCTGCAGTCTGTTGTTTCTTAGATTCAGCATTGAAACTGAATTTAAAACAAAACATAGATGACATTCTGTCGCCTCATCAACCACCAAGATCTCACTGCCTACAGACATTCAGTAACTCTCATTGGATAATGTTAATAAATATCTTTCACTAAATATGAACGTTTTCTACCTGTCCTTGTTTAAATTATGAAAGAAGTTATTATGCCTGAGAATCTCTAGAATGTCGAATACTTTCCACTAAACAGTTGTCTTCTACTTTGGTTAGTTTTTTTAACAACCATTTAAAAAACATATTTTGCTTTTGTTTTATTTTTTACTGCAATTCCTGTAGAGTAGCTTTTATAGTGTTAATTCAGTATGTGCTACAAAATAAAAGCCTTTCCTTTACATTAGGTTTGTGGGCATTTTATTTTGAATTGTTCCAATCATGGCACTTCAAAGGAACAGCGCATCACAGGAACAGCCTGTGATGTCACAGTGCACATTCTACTGAAAACCCTATAAATAGGGGAGACGTTCAACCAACTTTAGTGGATCTCGGATGGCAGAAACACAAAGCAACCTGGTTGTTAAAACAAAGACAAGGCGGACGCAGAGAAACGCAGACGCACACGCTGACGCATCTACAATGGCAGAAGCAAAAATAGAAATGGTCATCACACCAAAACCTGAGGTTGATAAAGCCGCACAACCAAATACTAAAAAGTCTCCTGTGGCACAACCACCAAAGGAAACGGTTGTGAAACCAAAGAAACAAAAAAAGCAAAAACAGAAAAGAGTGGCTGAAGAACCAAGAAGACCAATTACTCGGGCATATGCCCGGGCTCTTCTTGAAGCTCAAAACAGCACGGGTGATGGAGCAAACCCGAAAAATGAAGAAATGCAACAAAACACTGGAGCCACTCCTGAAAAAGAAAAGGCTGAATCCCTCCCCATTTCAAATGCAAAGGAGGACATGGAGAGAGAGAGAAATGGGAAGAACCCCAGCAGACCAAACCCTGTGCCTAATGGAGGGACTTGGCAATATCAACCCATTCCCACATTTAGACCCCCGTTTAATCCCTGGCACGAGATTGCTGCTCTCAGACACCAACTGGAAGCCTCCCAATACCATCAGAACGACCTTTACTGTAAAATGGTAGGTGCAAACAAGAGGGCCTCTTATCACCAGTTTCAGGTGAACAAACTTCGTGAAGAAATTCACGAGAACGAGCGAAAAAAAAAAAAAAAAAAAAAAAAAAAAAAAAAAAAAAAAAAAAAAAAAAAAAAAAAAAAAAAAAAAAAAAAAAAAAAAAAAAAAAAAAAAAAAAAAAAAAAAAGAAAAAAAAAAAAATAAAAAAAAAAAAAAAAAAACAAAAAAAAAACAAAAAGAAAAAGAAAAGAAAAGAAAAAAAAAAAAAAAAAAAAAAAAAAAAAAAAAGAAAAAAAAGAAAAAAAAAAAGAAAAAAAAAAAAAAAAAAAAAAAAAAAAAAAAAAAAAAAAAAAAAAAAAAAAAAAAAAAAAAAAAAAAAAAAACAAAAAAAAATACAAAAAAAAAAAAAAAAAAAAAAAAAAAAAGAGAAAAAAAAAAATAAAAAAATAAAAAAAAAAACAAACAAAAAAAAAAAGAAAAACAAAAAGACAAAAAAAAAAAAAAAAAAAAAGACTACACACAAAATAAACAAGAAACACACACAAAAAACAAAAAAACAAACAAAAAAATAAAAAAAAAAAAAAAAAAAAAAAAAAAAAAAATAAAAAAAAAAAAGAATAAAAAAAAAAAAAAATAAACACAAACACAGAACACACACAAAAAAAGAAAAAAAAAAAACAAAAAAAAAAAAAAAAAAAAAAAAAAAAAAAAAAAAATAAAAAACAAAAAAAAAAAACAAAAAGAAAAAAAAAAAACAAAAAAAAAAAAAAACAAAAAATACAAAAAGAAAAAAAAAAAAAAAAAGGAAAAAAAGAAGAAAAAAAAGAAGAAAAAAAATTTAAAAAAGAGAAAAAAAAATTAAAAAAAATGGCCATTTGTAAAATAAAAAAAAATAAAAACCAAAATAAAAAAAAAAAAATAAAAAAAGAAAAAAAAAAAAAGAAAATAGAAAATAAAAAAAAAAATAGAAAAAGAAAAAAAAAAAAAAAAAAAAAAAAAAAAAGAAGAAAAGATTAAAAAAAAGCAGGAAAAGAAAAAAAAATGTAAACTAATGAAAAATACAAAAACAACAAAAACAAAAAAAAACACACAAAAACAAACAAAAAAAAAAAAACACAAAAAAAAAAAAAAAAAAAAACAAAAAAAAAAAAAATAAAAAAAAAAAAAAAAAAAAAAACAAGAAAACAAAGGCTGAAGATAAATTAACAAAAACACTATAAAAAATAACCCACAGAGCAGTGTGTGGAGTCTGCCACTCCAACCACAGAGGCTTCACACACTGACTCTGTAGGACTGAAGTCCTCTAAGGAGGCTGAATTTGAGCTCAAATGTAGGATTCAGCAAGAGCAGATTGAGATGCTCCAGAAACAGCTCCTAGCAGCTCAAAATCAGCTTGAAGAGCAGGCCGTTAAACATAGGCAGGAGCAGGAGACACTCAACCTGGAAATCAGTGACCTGAAATCCCAGCTCTGCCCCAACAAGGCCCTTCATGATTTGAAGCTAGAGTCTCTGGAGCGAGAGCTGAAAGGGGCCAAAGCTTCCTCACTTAAAATCCCACAGCAGCACAAAGAACAAAATTCCACTGCTGCAAATGAAATGCACAAATTTGAGCTTCCGAAAGAAAACGAGACTGGAGAACAGGAGAAGATGGAAAAAGAGGACTCACGGCCATCCACTGCAAGGTCTCTGCAGGAGCCTCAGAAAGAAAAAGACACCACAGAACAACAGAAGATAGAAAAAGAAGAGTCAGCTGCATTTTCTGTACAGGAATCTTTGCAAAGTCTACAAGACAAACAGAAAATGCTCAATGTCAAGGTGGCTGAACTCAAGACTGAAGTTAAGAGCCTGCCAGAGATTCCGCCAAGTAAGAAGAAGAACAAGAAGAAGCGGAACTGTGCGCGTCCCCAATTTCACATAATTGGTGTCAACATCAAGTCCTAAAAATCATATTTATATACAACTAAATTGTCAGTGAACATTTGAACCCCTCTCGGTCGAGACAGAAGGCCACCCCTTCCTGAGCCCGGTTCTGTCAGAGGTTTCTCCCTATTAAGAGGGAGTTTTTCCTCTCCACTGTCGCCAAGTGCTTGCTCATAGGGGATTTGGGGGCTTTTTTTTAACACCAACCACTGAAAAGTTCACTGACATCAAATTTAAGACTCAGCAAATATGGAAATGGATCATTCGTCATCAAGTGAGGAATCATCCATTTAAAACATGTTTGCTGAGTCATATTTAGTTGTATATAAATATGATTTCTGTCACACTAAGGCCAATCACAGACTAATTTGGACAATTGGTAAAAAATAAATAAATTGAAAAAATTGAAAAGAAGTAGTTGTGTCATTGTTTCGTGTAGATTTCAAATAACATGCCATTTTATGTCAACATATTTCTGTTACATTTGTAGTGCTCGTGGTTTTATATTCTTATGATCCTGTTTGTTTGATGAGTATATCCTTCTGCCTTGCTTCACATATTTACTGCTGCTTGGCTAGCTTTAGTCATGCTAGCATCAGCACGGGTAGAAACAGATACACATCAGAGACATCACATGTAGCTTGTGTTTATGTTCAGAGTGACACCTGATTTAAAAGCAGGCAGCAAAGCACTGAGCAGCATATCAGTCCAGCACAGAAAACAAATGCCATAAATGTCATCAATTAGGCTGGAATAGTTTGTTTCTAGTGGCTTCTATCAGAGGTGTGGACTCGAGTCACATGACTTGGATCATCGACGAGTCATTAATTTTATGACTTTAGACTTGACTTGAAAAAATGTTCTAAGACTTGTGACTTGACTTAGACTTTTACACCAATGACCTGGGACTTGAATTGGACTTGAACCGGTTTACTTGAAAAGACTTGATATTTCACCCCAAATATAAAATTTAACATGCATTTATATAGAGATTGAAAATGTGACGTCATTCTAGGGGTAGAAACCAGCAAAGGATTCTGGGAACGTCGTGGCAAGCAGTACTAGCGCAGATTGAAACAGTCACACAGCGATAAAAAGAAACACAAAAAATGGCAAGAAGCTGTTGTATTATTAACTGCAATAGCCGGTCGCATGACAGCCACGGGAAGCCGACGGGTAAAGAGATCGGTTGTTATCGGATTACGTCGTGAAGAGAAATTGTTCGAGCCATGTTTCCGAAGTAACAAAGAGCGACGGATGGCCTGGATTGCAGCCATTCAAAGACCAAATATAACGTCCCAGAACACTCCAGCTCACAGTTAGTCTGCTCCAAGCATTTACCACAAAGGTCAGTCTGCTGTTGTAGTTAATCGTCATTTTCATAACATAATTGGTGATATAGGTTACAAGCAAGTCTGGCGCTGAACAGAAATTGTCGCGCTATGCTCCTTTGTTTATTGTGCATAAATAGTGAATTGTCCTGACACAATATTGCGTTTCGCTTCTGTTATTATGGTACATTGACAAAAACATATACTTTTATTCACAGGATAAAACAGTTGTTTTGTATCACTAATTGCCCAGTACGATTACAGCATACAGTATTATTGTCACTGCTACATTTCTGTAGATGCTACCAGAAATTATTTCCACTACTAATTAATTACCGTTGAGCTCAAAGGTTACCTATTAATAAACGGTTAACGAATGTGTATTTATGACGACGATTTGTGAGACTGGTAAACTTATGATACGTACGATGGTCTTTCGTTCTACACGGTGCATTTCAAGGTCCTGCACCCATCCGTCGGTAAACTGTACCTGGGCTTGTTGCAGTGACCTGAAGTTACTAAACTTCATGAGTGTATGCACTCACTCCAAGAACCGTATGATTATAAATATGCATATAAATATGCTACGATGAGATAGCTGACTTCATCTAACTAGCAAATGTTGTCCAGGCTACGTTGGTGATGCAGTTTTTTTTTAATGTGTATGATATTTTTGTCATGCGATTTTAAAGCCGGTCCTACAACCGCATCCAAGAATAACATGCAGCTTATCTCAGAACTGTCGGTGAAAATTATTCTTGGAGCTAGGTTTAATTGAGCTGCATTTTAAAGAGGTGCAATTTCACAATTTGTGTATATTTTCTAAGTTCACTATTTTGTCATGTGTTGAGAAAAACACAGATTTAAAAATTACATGGTCTAATATTTACATTTAGCATAACTGCAACATTGCTTTTTTTCGTTTTTTTTTTAAAGACTCGAAAGGACTTGAAATTCAAAATTTCAGACTTGTGACTTTACTCGGACTTTTACACCAGTGACTTGAGACTCGACTCTGACTTGCCTGACATTACTTGAGACTTGACTTGAGACTTGAGGATAAAGACTTGAGACTTACTTGAGACTTGCAAAACAATGACTTGGTCCCACCTCTGCCTTTAAGCTATCAAATAGAGATGCAGCACAAAAACAATTTGCTTGTCGTGCATCACTTTGTTGCTTGTGGATAGTCTTGGTTGTGATTTTTTAAGATAACCATCTGATATAAGTACCACACACTTCACATTGCTAATAGTTATTTTGCCTATAATCACTACAATTTTATGAAACTGATTGCTTTGTGGTCATTTTCAGGTTCACCAACAACCCAGTGACACGTTTTGACTTCCTGAAACATTTCTCCTCTATTCAGCCTGGAATTCAGCAAATTTGTGCAAGAGTCTGCTGCTCTGCTTTCAAACTCACACACACAATGTGGAAATAGCAGTCCTTATCAGTAATTAGCTGGAAAAGATCTGGGAACCCATGCACTCAAGACTCTCATTCTAGTAGAGCCAATAGATATATACACAACTGGTCAACAGCAATCAAGCTACATTTAAGAGCTAGCATTGTTTGGTCCGTGTTGAAGTCCTTATTCTCATCATCTGTGAGCTAACAGCTCCTCTGGGGCAGGCGCTAAGTGAGGCTGCTGCATTAGTGGTTTTTT